AATTGATTAAGACGAATTGTATCTTCGATCGGTATTGGATTTGACTTTTCTCCAGTACTATGAACAATTGTATCATCGGCTCGACCAAGTAAAAGATAAAAGCCGGAACCTTTTGAAGTTTCAAGGAAGAGATCACCTACTCTATAGCCACCATTCTCAGTATTTCCTTTAATGTTTGAAAGATTTGGAGTTCCTTTTTTTATAACTAATTCTTTCACGCCATCAAAAATGTCATTCCTTTCTATCCATTCTACATAACTTTCTGGTATTGCTAATTCCATTGCGTTCCATGGGATATCAGGCGAAGAATTTTTAGAAGTTTTCATAACAACACCTGTTTCAGTTAAACCATAAATGGATTGGACATTAACGCCAGATTGAACAAGCTTCTCGCCTATTTGAGGTGATAATGCAGCACCAGCATATTTGATAGAGCTTAATTTTAATAAAATTTTTTTAATTTCTTCAGGACGATTTTTATAAATTTGTTCAATAATAGCGGGTAAAGTATAAAAAACATTAGCTTTAGATTGATTTAAACTATATAAAACTTCGTTTGTTAAAGGAACCGATCCTGAGACGATTGGAAATACATAAACAGGACCAGGATAGAAAATAGTGGCTATTGAAACAATCATTCCAAAAATATGAAATAATGGAGTGGTTGTTAAAACAATATCATCAGCTTTATCTCTTTGCTCCACAACCAAGAAATAACGATTGGTGAGAGGAACTAATTTAGGGAATGAGGTTGAACCGGAACTATGAAAAATGGCGATAACTTTTTCATAAGGATCATCATCTAGTTTTATAACAGGAGCTGAATTATCGATGTTTTCATTCTTTAAATTGTTAGGAATTGGAAAAATTTCAAGCGTTTGTGAATGTTGAGAACATAATTCACTTTGAACATTTTTGGAGATTTTTGAAAGTTGAGAATCATAGATGAGAATACGTGATTTAGCTTCTTGAAGTAAATGAATTAAAGCAGGTTCGGAATTTCGAGGACTAAGGAATAAAACTGTAAAGCCTAGTTTCCATAAAGCCATGAAGTTATACAAGTATTCAGGGCCACTTTGCGAGAAGTAGCCAATTATGCTGTCTTTCTTCAAATTTTCATTCTCCAATTGTTTACTCCAATAGTTTGCGTATTTATTGATAATAAGATCATAGTCCTGATAATTGATTTCTTCATATTCTGTACCATTTGGGACCATAAGAACTTTTTCTTTTGGTCTAGTT